GTCCACAACTCCTCCGCTAAGGTCTCCAATGCCTCCGCCGCCTCCAAAGTCTGCACTGCCTCCAAGGCGGTCTCCAACGCCTCCCCCGCCTCCAAGGAAGCTAGCCTCTAAGAGGTCCGCCCCGTAAATGAAGTTGTTGCCCTACCCGCCGGCAAAGAAGTAGAAAGCAAATACTCATCCAGTTATTCCCCAAAAACTATCTTATGAGAAAAGTGAACAGGAATTAAAGGATGCAGTACAAAAAGAAGTGACATATTTCTTTGAAGGTGCAAAACAGGCACGACGAGCGAGGGAGAACCCAGAGCCATCATACTTCTTCCTACCTCTAGATCAGGTAAGAAAGAAGTTGGAACAAAAAAACGGGATTCTCTTAAGAGCGCCGCGAAAAAACCGATATCGGACTATGACCGCTCTCTCACCAAGTCATATGAGGCGGCGCAAAAAAAGAAGAGAGTAGGGAAAGGTGTTGCACAACTCAGACAACAATCGCAACAATCAATCCCCCCCCTTGTCGTTCCTAACGAATATGGTTCAAACTTAAACTTAGTGGAGGAGGTAGACGGCTATGAGTCATTTCTTTGGTTTTATGAGGACACTGGTTTGAACCTTGCCGAAGTGCTCGCTGAAGGACCATCTGCTCTGGAAGTGGATCCTTACAAGAAATTTGTACCAGGCCAGAGTCTATACAACCCAGAGAAATTAGGTGAACTGGGTACGCAAATGTACCCGCTAAACGGGTGGTACATGTCGGCGTCTGATGCGGGACAAATCTATCTTTCTGTCAGAATTAGAAACCACCATTACTTCCGTGGCAATGACATTATCTATGTCGAGCTTCCAGAATTACACCAACTATGCCACTTGGACTCTCTCGACAAAAGTCTCATTAGCTGCTATTGTCTATAAGTGTGATTATTTTCTACTATATTCACAATTTCTTTATTATATATTCACAATATATATATTCACAATTTTCATGTATGCAGATATGAGATGACAGAACTTAGAAAGAGAAAGGATAATGATGTTAGGTTCATTGATCCGTATGTCGTATACAAACACCCTAACCCCCCGAAGGATTATAAGCCTCAACCTGAGAGAAATCTCATTAATTTCTTAGTGAACCAACGCGACAAGAAGGAGATACTCTTCCCTACAACTTCAAGTGAGTGTTATTATAAGTAATTAATATCGATCATATATATGGGACATCAATATTTCCTTACTAGCTAGTTACCTCTCTCGCACACATATATATATATATATGTTTATGCAGCAATCACTGGATATTGATGGTCATCAATATGGCCAATAGTAGATTGAAAATCTTAGACTCGTTGAGAAAACCGCAAACGGAGTATCAAGACATGATAGATATTATACAAGGGTAATTAATTTAGTTTCTCTATAACAACATATATATATAATGGCGCCGATCTCTCAACAATTATTAAAGGTTAAATTATTTTTTTATTTTATTGGGAGCAGGGTTTAGAAAAGGTTCATTGAGGAACAAAAAAATAAAACATTGCAAAGCGCCACTAGGTGTAATCGCACACAAAGGAAGTACTATAACTACACATTTATATTCAATTAACACCATATGATGATTTCAATTCACCCTAATTGATTTTTTGTCGTAAAAGTGGGTTCTAAGGCAGGAGCAGGGTAACAACTACTGCGGATACTATGTTTGCGAGTTCATCATGGCGTACTCAAAGAGAACTCCTAAAGAGCAACTCAAAGTACGTATATAAATACTTTTTCCTTTATATTATTTCGATCGTATATTTACAATTTCTTTATTGCTCTCATTTGTATAAGTAATTACGTGAGCAATACACATATATATATATATATATATATATATATATATATATATATTAACACTTTTTCTTTAACTTTTATTGAAGACCTGAATGGTTGAGGAAAAGAGTCATACAACTTGACCAACTTAAAGCAATTATAGAGACTATAGCATATTTCTATAATGACCGTATATCATCAACCCCAAACTTACGCGCATGAGTTCTTATATATTACTACCAGCGATTCGAAATGTGGATGCAAAACTAGGAGTGAATTGCTAAGGACATAAGCAATTTATATATCAAACATTTGTAATATATATATATATATATACATATATAGTATGCACAAATTATATGTACATAAAATAACGTGTGTGTATATATGATCATCATATATATATGCATGTAACTGCAAAAGCCTTGCTGCATTATAAGCTTGTTTATTTTATGTACAAAGTTCGAACAACAAAAATTACCTGTGCGTCTGCTTAAACATATATATTACTATTAGCAGCGTATTCGAAAATGTATTTTAATATCAAAACTAATCATTAAAGTGCGTATAGCAATTAAACATGAAAAAATACTTAAACCAAAAATAGAAACCTTTTTTGGCTCTTGCTTACCTATCAGAAACAAGGAAAAAGAGATGGGCATTTAGTCCCCCTCTTTGCTAGTCAAAATTTGACGATTTCGGGACTAAAAAATTTGTCTGCCTTTCTGCCCGGAGCGCTTTCCTACTGGCGGACACAGAGGCCCTTCCCTCCCTGATGGCACATGTTGGTGTTTCCAACCGGGACCTTTAGTCCCGGGCGTCAAGCCGGGACTATAGGAGGGTACCTTTAGTTCGGATTAGTGCTCTGGTTGGAAAACCGGGACTAAAGGGGTTTTCCAACTTAGAGCAAAAAGCCTTGCTGCACCAGTGAAATAAGCGTGTGTGTGTGGGTGTGTGACACTTATATCACATAATAGTGCGTACAACAATTAAATTTTCCTGTGCTATTTATGCTTCAACCGGTTAATGTAGCTAACGTCTTTTTTTTTTTGCCCTTGCTGTTCTTAGGCTCTTGCTTACCTGTGAGGTCACAAATCAACGTATGTGACACGTATATTACATAATAGTGCGTATAGCAATTAAACATTACATTTTCCTAAGCTATTTATACTTAAACCGGTTAATGTAGCTAACGTCTTTTTTTTGGCTCTTGCTTACCTATCAGGTGACAAGTCAACGTGTGTGCCACTTAGATTAGATAATATTGCATTTATACTTAAACCAGTTAATGTAGCTAACGTCTTTTTTGGCTCTTACTTACCTATCAGGTGCCAAGTCAGCGTGTGTGACACTTAGATTAGATAATAGCGTAATTAAACCTTGCATTTTCCTATGCTATTTATACTTAAACGTGAGAGAGAAAGTGTGACACTTATATTAGATAATAGTGCAAAGAGACCTTTTATATTGTACAACGATTAAACCTTACATTTTCCTACGCTATTTATACCTAAACCGGTTATTGTAGCTAACATGTTTATTTTTTTAAAGCTCTTGCTTACCTATCAGGTGATAAATTAGCGTGTGTAACACTTATATTACATAAATAGTGCGAAAAGATCTTTTACATGCTAAAACAATTAGACCTTACATTTTCCTTTGCTATTCATACTTAGACGTGACAAAGAAACCATCCCGCAGCGAAGCGAGGGGTAACTCACTACAGTTAAGCATTGCACAGTAATCCCCTAGCGGTAATCGTGTCACCGGTTACTATGGCGACCATCGTTTTTGCACTTCCTTACCTATCGGCTGACAAATCAACGTTTGTGACACTTAGTATTGTGAAAAGGTTTTTTACATGATACAACAATTAAACCTTATATTTTGCTATGCTATTTATACTTAAACGTGAGGGAGAAACCAACCCACGGGGTAATTTGCTACACTGAAGCGTGGCACAGTAGTCCTGCATCAGTAATCGTCATCGTGTAATAGTAACAGACAGTACCCACACAACCATACATGTCCCCTAAAACAGCAGCTCCTTTATTTCTCTTTTATTCTTCTTCTCATAATCTCACTTTAAACATATAGCACTACAATAGACGTCCCGTGGCAATGCGCAGGGGGCCTACTAGTTAAGTATACATGCGTGTACAAGTGATAGATATAATTTTTTGTATAAATAGATTTTGATAGAGGAAATTCAACATCTAGACTCTAGAGCACAAAAAACTTTTATACCATTTGTAGTAACTAAGAGTGCAATCTAAGATCTAATTTTTTTTTTCTGAATAAAATATAAAAGTAGGGTTTTGAATAATGGTCCACTAAGAATTAGATTTTTAACTTTTATACCATTTGTAGTAACTAAGAGTGCAATCTAAGATCTAATTTTTCTTCTTCTGAATAACATATAAAAGGAGGATTTTGAATAAAAGTCCACTAAGAATTAGATTTTTAACTTAAAATGTATTAAAAATTGCATCAACTAATTAAGATCAAAGCTTGAAAGTTAAAATATAGATTCACAGGTCCCGACACATGGGCTACGTTAAGACCTAATTTAACTTGAGGTAACGTGTCACCTAACAACATATTGAGACACAAATAAGTTTGATGCAAAGGAAGAAAACTATTTACATAGGCAAAAACATATAGAGTAATTGCTAAACCTATCGCAATCCGAAAAGAGATCAGATAGTATCTGTATAAGTATTGTATTTGAATATGAATAGAGAGAGTGCAAAGATAAGCAATTTTGATTAGTCTTAGATGTTGAATGCTATTCGCGAACTTGTCATACAATATCCCATAAGATTTTAACCTGTGTAGAAACTTGTTGGTTTTGCAACTGCTGGGACACCACAAGCTCAACGTGCTGCACACTAAACCAAACGGATAGGAACACGCGCACAAGAGCACAATCGTGTAATTTTCAGGGACACGTCAACATACATAAAATTAACATGGATGCGAATTTCATCGTCTCTTTGAAATTCTAGTAATGTACGGAAAAGGTAAATTCATGGAAAACGGTAATATATATCTTCCTCTGCCCGTCTTCAGAGTTCAGACTGCTTCACTTCCCTATTTAAACCACGGCTCCTGCCTTCCCCTACGCGCGTCTAAGAACCCTATCAGTAGGGGCTAGCAGCATTGGTAGTAAGCTAAGAGAAACTACCAAAACCATGACGGAGACGGACGTTGCCATCGAGATGGAGGCAGACGCCGCCGCGAAGGCGCTGTACAGGGATCCGGCGCCGGCCCTGCTGCTGGACACGAGCGAGCTGAAGAAGTGGTGCCTGTACCGTGCGCTCATCGCCGAGTTCATGGCCACCCTCATCTTCCTCTACGTGAGCATCGCGACCGTCATCGGGTACAAGAACCAGTCCATGGCCGAAGCGTGCACCGGTGTCGGCTTCCTCGGCGTCGCCTGGTCCTTCGGCGCCACCATCTTCATCCTCGTCTACTGCACCAGCGGCATCTCAGGCATGCATACACGTGACGAAGAAGACGACGAATTGATTGATGCGCGGCATGCAAGTACTATATAACTTTTTTTTGCATCATAATATAGGTGGGCACATCAACCCGGCCGTGACGTTCGGGCTGTTCGTGGGGCGGAAGCTGTCGCTGGTGCGCACCCTGCTGTACATCGTGGCGCAGTGCCTGGGCGCCATCTGCGGCGTGGGCATCGTGAAGGGGATCATGAAGCACCCCTACAACTCCCTCGGTGGCGGCGCCAACGAGGTGTCCACCGGCTACACCATCGGGGGAGCCCTCGCCGCCGAGATCGTCGGCACGTTCATCCTCGTGTACACCGTCTTCTCCGCCACCGACCCCAAGCGCACGGCGCGCGACTGCTCCTTCGTCCCCGTACGAGCGCCTCGGCTCCTGGACCTCCACGCCTGCTCCTGCTACAAGTGCAATATATGTGCTAATCCGTGGCCGTGCGTGCGTGCAGGTGCTTCTGCCGCTGCCGATTGGGTTCGCGGTGTTCGTGGTTCACCTGGCGACCATTCCAATCACCGGCACGGGCATCAACCCGGCCAGGAGCCTCGGCGTCGCCGTCCTCTACAACCAGCACGCAGCATGGAAAGACCATGTAATTAAGATCTCTATAACCACACTCTTACTACGTAGCTAGTAGTATACTGTCTTATTTATTCGTCAGCTACCATCAGTCGTCGAAGATTCGGAATTGACATGACATATATATATACGTGTGCTGTACAGTGGATCTTCTGGGTTGGGCCGCTGATCGGGGCGACGGTGGCGGCGTTGTACCACAAGCTCGTGCTGCGCGGGTAGGCCGCGCGAAGCTGTTGATTTGCCTGAACAAGATTGGCGGCCTCCGCGTGTAGTTCCTCCAATTGATTTCTCTACCTGCCCAATTCGTTGTCGTCTTCTTCAATATATGCTACGAGGTCCTTACACGAACAGTATGTATGCACGCTTGTCCGTGTGCCATTTTTTTTTATTTGGGAACTACGTGGGTCGTCCATGTATATAAATAAACCTGTGTGTTGCAACGGGAAAAAACTATTAAATATTCATAAAACTGAGAAGAGATTGTTACATATCTATTTATATTTTACCATATAATAGAAATTTTAAAACTATATTTTATTTTATGATGATCATAACATCTATAATATACGTTAACGTTAGCAATAATATGACAATGTCCTACACTCCTACGGCATTAAGTCTATATCAAATTAAAATACTACCATGATAGATCTTTTTTCTGTTATAAGGCACGTAAATATTTAGTCACAAATATATCATAACTTTGATTTTCACAATATTGGTTTGTTGGTAGAGTTAAAATATCAAGGTCCAGCCATCATCGCGGATTGCACTGGTGTATACGTGTAGCTTGGAGACATATTTATTATTTAAATATTTACTCATAAATATATCATAACTTTAATTTTCATAATATCTATTTGTTGGTAGAGTTAAATTATCGAGTTCCACCCCTGATCACGAATTGCACTGGTATATACGTACAACTTGGACACATATTTATTATTTAGATTGAAATTACATTGGATAACAAACTGCTCAAAGTTTCAGTTCGTGGTTTGATTAGTTGACCAATGGCTGATCCAGGTTCTAACAAACGCATGGACGTCGAGTTCAAAGGGAAAGGAAAGGAATCCGATTCACAAACGCATTGCTAATGCAGTTCATTCGGAGTCCGACTAGTAGTATTAGGTATCGTAGGAGTACCGGAAGATGCATAAAACATAGGAACTCTATCACACAAGGAAAGGAGAAATAGAAATCACGATCCTAGTCCATTTGTATATGTGTTCTTACCAAACTCTTAAATCTTGGCAGGACTATATATATGTGGGAGCTCTATATTATAATTACCAATATTTAGAGAAATATAAAGAATAGTCTCCCTATCTTTTGTCTATTTATTCTACTACTTTCATCTATTGTGTTGATCATAAAAGACGGAGAGGGAAAGATCCTAACCGGAGACGACATGTTTTATAACATATTATCAGCGCGACAAGCTCTACGTCGACATCGCCATTGAAGCCGCCGCCGATATTCGACGCCAACGCTCATACTGACGTCCTTGCCGTGAGTACTTCGACGATGTCAATATCCCGACGTTCTTAGCGGAACGGATCTGTTACCTCTACCTGCAACTAATCTGCACTACATCGACAAGCACAGTTGTCATCAAGCAGGCAGTTCAACAACAATGCCAACACCCTACGCGGTATGTATCTACTAACCACTGCCCTACGCAGCATGTGAGCTAGCTAGATCAAATTGGCATCCTCTACGAGGTATGAAAAATCACGCCTAGCAGATTGCATTAGTCCCTGTCATCAAGCTGGGAAATCGTTTTTATCGTGCACGGAGTACGCGGATCTTTGTACATGAAGTACACCCGCACATATAATGTACATCATCTACAGTTTGTATTTACATGTGTTAAATCTAGCCTTAATTAAAGGGGGAAAGCACCTCAGCTTGATGGCGTGTCAAGCTCAGATATGAGCCCGTGATCATGCGGCCTGCATGCAGCTGCTACCACATCTCCCTCCCGGCCTGAACGCCGACGCACTGTCCGTCGTCCACATCTTGCGGCTGCACGCGCACGTGTGCCGTCTTGGCGTCTCGCTGCATGGCCGCCCGTCATCCGCTGCCGCATCGGCCAGGAGATCGACCAGCCTTTGATCAGAATTAGTTCTTGTAGTACGAAGAACCGTACCATGCAAAATCATCATGTACGTGCCGTCACCGAATCGATGTCCGTTATCGCGCTGCATGCGACTCACAGGCTGTCTCGGTCATGTACGACTGTAGCCTGCAGCTCACAGCCGTATCTCCTGGCCACCAAACCGTTGTCTTCGATTTCGATGCCCATGGACTGTGGCTTGCACGCCGCTACCTCGCACCACCGTTCGTGCACACGTGACGCGTCCCTACACTGAACCTCTGCGTCACATGCCCACATGTTTTTATCTTCAGACTGTGGGTCCGCATGCTCGCAGCTCTACATGGGTAGCATCCCATCGGCACGCGCGTGCACAGGCAAAGAAACGAGATGCAATCCGCACTTGGAACAGGAAACTCGAGCATATATGCATGATGGACCGAAGGGAAACATCGAAACAGACGGGGGCCTGAAGTCAACCAACAAATATATCATAACTTTGATTTTCACAATATCGGTTTGTTGGCAGAGTTAAAATATCAAGGTCCTGCCATCATCGCGGATTGCACTGGTGTATACGTGAAGCTTGGAGTCATATTTATTATTTAAACATTTACTCATAAATATATCATAACTTTAATTTTCATAATATCCATTTGTTGGTAGAGTTAAATTATCGAATTCCACCCCTGATCACGAATTGCACTGGTATATACGTACAACTTGAAGACATATTTATTATTTAGATTGAAATTACATTGAATAACAAACTGCTCAAAGTTTCAGTTCGTGGTTTGATTAGTTGACCAATGGCTGATCTAGGTTCTAACAAAACTACGTCAACAACTTAGTGGTGAGAATATTTATTTATATTTATTAGTGAAACATCCCTGGTTTAAAGACCTATAATATTATAGTTATTATTTACTTTTGATCTTTTATTATAAGAGAAAAGGAAAAAAGCCAGGACTGCCGAATGGACAAAAAGGAAACTAAAAAACAAGGGACGACTGTCCGAAAAAAAAAGAAACAGTAAAACAAAAGAAAAATGAAAAGGCACAAAAAACGAAAAAATATCGAACTCGAGTCAACAGGAAACAGAAGCAAAACGTGGATGCAGTGTCCGAGATGAACACGAAACAGAAACACGGCGCCGAGGAAGTCCGAGATAAATACGAAACAGAAACACGGACGGCACGGAGCGGAACAGAAACACGGACACACGGTAAAACCTGGACAGCATAAATGGGGAGGCAGAACAAAAATTTTAGAGACAAAAATTATAACTCCTAGGTTATGTGGGATCAGAGGATCTATTTGGATTAGAATTAGAATTCCTATCTATTTGAGGTTGGAGGATCTATTTCGATTAGGATTCCTAACTATCCATATTACCTAAATAAGCCATGCATATATCATATATATAAAACAGAATGGTTATAAACAGAAGAGAAGATACAATTTCCACATTCACCTAATTTGTTAGGGGAGGTGGACAAAAAAAATGGGCTGAAATTTTGGTTCTTTATTATTAGGTATAGATATATATCTTGAAAAACCAGAACGACATACAATTTAAAATAGAGAGAGTACAACCTTGATAGATTTTTTTCTTCCGTTGGAAGGCACAAAAATATTTACTCTCAATATATCATAACTTTAGTTTTTATAATAACTATGTGTTGGTAGAGTTAAATATGGAGTTCTGTGACTTCCTTTGATGACTCATCAAAAGTCGTAATTCTAATCTTTGATTAAAGTCGGCAATGGTTAGTTGTCGTCGTATCAAGAATTGGTCTATTTATTGATGATTATGACGTAGACCTCTTTTGATTTTTCATATGAAAGCCCTTGTCAAGAGTTACACTGATATATACATATAGCTTGGATTTATAGTTTGATTAGTTGAACCATCGGCTTACATAGATTCTAATAATAATAGGTTTTATTCCTAGCAACTTAATGGTGAGAATATTTGTTTATTAAGCAGTGGACATAACAGAATGATAAGAGTGAAGAAAAACGGAAGGAATGAACCTAATAAGAAGTCTAAAAGTCGCATTTAACTTGCATGAAAAAAGGAGTATATGAAAAAAATAACACTACACAGATTTGCACATCACTATCGGCATCATCACTGTCGGATTTGTGAGAACCGATAGTGATGTACCTCCACTGCCAGTTATGAGCTTAAAAAAAAAATATTGGGGCTAGACTAAAACCGGCAGTGAAGAACCACATCACTGCCGGTTTATGGCTTGAACCGGCAGTGTTTTAGCGGGCACTCATCACTGCCGGTTCTAGCTAAGAGCCGACAATGATTGGACTCTATCACTATCGGTTCTAGCCAAGAACCAACGGTGATAAGCCTACAACACAAAAAGGCTACAGCCGTCCTCTCCTTCCTCCTCTCTTCCATCCCGAGAACAGAGGCGCGCGTTTGAACCGTTCCCTCCATTGTTGCGGCTACTCTTCACCATAAAGCTAGTGCTTAGATTTTGAAGAATGGCTTGATCTTTTTGCTTTAAGGTTAGTAACAAACCTCCACTCCTTTGATTTTGTTGCTTAATTAGCTTCGTTTTGATGGCTACATTGCTTGATTCTTATTCTAGTTCCATTCTAGAGAGCACTTTTCCAATTGAACATTTGTGCAAGGCTCAAATTGTGGTGAATCTATCATCCAAACGGTTGGTGTCTATGAACACATTTAAATTTCTAGCTAATTATTACATGGTGGTCAAGATCATCATTGTTAGTATGTGATGCTATAATTAGTTCTTAGAAGTAGAGTAGAATAGATGTTCTTTATTATTGCGCAATAATTATTTTTTACTACGATTTTCAATTTACAGAGGCCGGGGCTACCAATTTCAATTTTTCAATAATTAGTGTACAATAATGTTTTCAAAAATGGTACTTTCGAGCTACAATTGTTGTTCATGAAGCTCGATTTCTTATTAATTCTTTGTAATTACTGTCTCAATATTTTTTTGTGCAGAGATGGATCGAGAGTGGATGCATCTGTCCCGAACGGACAAGCGGTACATGCATGGTTATAGCCAGTTTATCACCGATGCTAAAGCCCATGCTAGAAATAGGAACCCTGTCTTCTGCCCATGCA